TCAACCCAAACTGAAGGCTCTGGTCTTTGATCTTCTACAGCAAGTATTTTACATCTTCTTTGCTTTCATTAAGCAAGGTGGTATCATCTGCATGTATCAGGTTGTTAATGAGTCTTCCTCCAATCCTGATGTTATGTTCTTTTTCATATAATCTAGTTTCTCATATTATTTGCTCAACATACAGATTGAATAAGTAAGGTGTAAGAATATAACCTTTGTACACATCTATTTTGGTTTTAAATCATTCAGTATACTCTTATTCTGTTTTAACGACTGCCCCTTGATCTAAGTACAGGTTTCTCATGAGCACAGCTAAGTGTTCTGAAATACCCATTTTTCACAATGTTATCCATAGCTTGAATCGATCCACATATCGAAACTTTGGCATAGTCAATAAAATACAGGTAAAGATCTTTTTTGGTGATTTTTGCTTTCCACTGAGATCCATCTGACATCAGAAATTATATTTATAGTTCCCCTCTGACTCTGACTTCAGTTTCTGATGGTTCCTTGTCAAGATACTGTTGCAGTCATTTTTAAATTGTTTTTAGTGAAATTTTACTTGCATGTGATATTAATGGTATTGTTGGATGATTTCTGCATTCTGTTGGGTCACCTCTGTTTGGAATGGGCACAAATGTGGATCGTTTTCAATCAGTTGGCCAGGTAACTGTCTTTCAAATTTCTTGACATAGATGAGTGAGTGCCTCCAGTACTGCATCAGTTTGTTGAAAGATTTCAATTTATATTCCTTCAATTCCTGGATCCTTGTGTTTTGCCAATGTCTTCATTGTAGGTTGGGGTTTCTTTCTTTAGTACCATTTGTTCTTTATCACATACTACCTCCTGAAATGACTGAACATTAATCATTTCTTTTTGGTAGAGTTGTTGTTGTTGTCAGGTGCCATCGAGTCGGAACCGACTCATAGTGACCCCATGCACAGCAGAATGAAACAATGTCCGATCCTGGGCCAACCTCACTACCGCCGCCACACTTGACACCATAAATGATGTCACCTGGCTGATCCGTCTCATTGGAGGTCTTCCTCTGGAACACTCATTCTTCACTAAATGGCCAATACTAGTCCATTTCAGCTCACTAATGCCTAGGACATTGATCTTTATTCTTTTCACTTTATTTTTGACTACTTCCAATTTTCCTAGATTCACACTTGGAACATTTCATGTTCTGATTATTAATCAATGTTGGAGTTATTTCTTCTCATTTTCAGTGACGCCACATCTGCCAAAGAAGGTCTGGATAACTTTCCTTTATTCTCATCATTAAGGTTAATTATACTTTGAAGTGGAAACTCTTCCTACTCATATTTTGAGTGCCTTCCACCTTGAGGGGCCCATCCTCCCACACTCTATCAGGCAAAGCTCTGTTGCTATAAATAAGGGTTTCAGTGACTAACCCTTTTGCGTCTCCTTCTTTCTAGTCTGTTTCAGTCTGGAATCTCCTCTCATACTTGTCCAGCATGGGTGACCCTGATAGTATTTAAAATTTGGGTGACATGGTGTCTAGTACCATAGCAGCATACAAGCCATCACAGTCTGACAAAGTGACAGACTAGTGTTGGTACCATGTTTTGGTATTGGCAGTGGTTTTGTGTCACCCATCAGTTCTGATTGATAGTGACCCTGTATAGGGTTTCCAAGGTTACAATTTTGTTTTGTTTTTTCCAGAACCTGAAGAAGGAATTTGTCTGTACAGAGAAACCAGCCACATACATTATTAACCCAATTTGGTAGCCTGTTCTTTGGCCTTTGCCTTTTCCCGCTTGGCAATGTGAGCCACCGATTTGAGGCCCAGGACTTTGCCCCCCAGGTGACGCCCGATCTGGTCGTATCTGTCGTAACTGGTCCTGCTGGCTTCCACCAGCTTAGCCAGAGCTCCTTTGTCTTCTGAATTCACATGCGTGAAGGCCACAGTAGTGCAGGTCTTCCTGTAGACCAGGCGTCCCAGCCGGGCCTTCCCCTTGGTGATGCAGTAGGGAACCCCCATTTTACTATACAAGGCCGGCAGGAAGACAACCAGCTTGATAGGGTCCAGGTGGTGTGCTATCACCACCAGTTGGGCCTTCTTATTCTCCACCAGAGTGGTGACAGCGTTGAACCCAGCATGCAGAACGGGGAGTCTCTTGGTGGGGGCGTCCCCTTTGCCAGCAGCCTTCATTTCATCTAGGGCCAGCAGCCTCTGCTTCTTCTCCTGCTGCTTCTCCGGCCTGTACCGGTGGGTAAGCTTCAGCAGCTGAGTGGCTGTCTGGCGGTCCGAGGCCGGGTGAACTGGTTAATGGCAGGGGCAAGGGGGCACTTTCAGACACTTGTAGAGGATAGCCCATTGCCGATGCAGCCAGATGTAGCGGGCTATTTGACAAAGCGGGTGAGATTCCTTTTGGGTTGCATGTCCTGTCCGATGCCGAAGTTCTTGGGCCTTTTCTCAGATAGGAGATTCACCACCTTCTTGGCCTCATGCTTCTTGACAACAGCAGTTGCCGGCACCATCTTCTTCCCCTTGGCCTTCTTTTCTTTCAACATCTTGAGTAGATGGATCAGAGAGAAAGAGAAGGAATTTTCTATAAATCATTATGAGAGCAAAAAGCTTTATCTTTCTCCTGAGGAGCAACTAGTAGCTTCAAACTGCTAACCTTTCAGCTAGCAAACCAGCTCGTAATCCACTATGCTATCAAGGCTCCTCAGTACCATATTAATAAATACATACTTAAATAAAATATTTCAAATTTCATAGAAGCCCCATGTTAATAAAATAATGTTGCTCCATAGAGTTTTCAAGGCTAAGTTGTTTCCGAAGCAGTTTGCCAGGCATAGGCCTGTCTATTGAGGTTCCTTTTCGTGGATTCAAACCACCAACTTTTCAGTGAGTATTCCTTTAACAATTTGCACCACTCAGGGTGCCCTGAGATTATGAATACAAACTTTTAATTCCCATTATGGGAATTAGATTCCATTTTAGCATTAACATTTCAGACTTCCAAATGTTTTTGTTAAATGCCACTGAGTCTGTTCTGACACATAGAAACCCTATATAGGGTTTCCAAGTAGGAGTTGGTGGGTGTGAATTGCTGACCTTGCAGTTAGCAGTCTACTGTTTATCCTACAGCGCCACACAAGGACTAGAGATTTCCCAGTAGATCCTATAAAATTACATTTAATTAGCTCAGTTACTTTATTTTTGTCTTTAAAGTTCTTGGTGAAGATAGTACATTATACTAAAATTAAGTATACTACTAATTAGGTACTCTACTTCACAAAAATCCCCAGGGTCCTATACCATAATGAATATCTTCTTTGCTATTAAGAGCAACAATAAATCCATGATGAGGCAAGGACAATTCATTTGTCTTAAAGAGAGAATAAGAAAGTCTCATGAAAACAAATCTGCTATTTGATTCCAAGTTAATAACTTACATGTTCAGACTGAGTTAAGGCAAATCCAGACATTTAATTTTTTTTTTATTCCTAGGGAAACCAGAATAACATCTTTGAAAATGTCACATCTATGCTGATGGAGGAGTCTTAGTGTTGCACTGTGGGTTAATGTTCTGAACTGCAAGGTCAGTTTGAACTGCAAGGTCTGCAGTTCAAGCTCACCAGCCACTCCTTGGAAACCCTATATCGGGCTGCTATGGGTTGGATCTGGCTCAAAGTCACTTAAAACAACAACAACATGCTGACATAATGAAGTGAAGGAGAAACTCATCAGTGCTTACATTTGTTGTTAAATGCTCCTGCATGCTATTGTGAGTAAGCGCTCCATTGTTAAGGAGGAAACAAAAGAAAAGCATGAGTTAGAAAGAAAGAAGTACTTTATGGCAATAATCATTCCTATTGCATTTTAGACTAACAATATAAAATAAAACTTTCACAATATGTTAGCTAAAAAAAAACCTTCAGGAGTTCATGGAATGTAAGTATTTTCGGTATTCTGGTTTGTTCAGAAAGTAATTACCACAGAAGTCATTGTAATGCATACGCTATCATAAGTAAATATATGTGTAAATCATGATTAAAATTTCAAAGCACTGAGTTAAAACAGTGCCTATGTTTTTCAATTAGAACAAGACCATAAACAGAAATTACTAGTATTTTTATTGCAACAAAATGATTGGTACCATTTTCCTTCATATTTAATTAACAATTGAGTTATTTATTATTAAACACACTGCTATCCAGTAGATAGTTACTCAAAGCAACCCTGCTTGGGTTTCTGAGGCTGTAAATCTTTACAAGAGTAGACAGTCTTATCTTTCCCCTTAGAAAGGCTGGTGAGCTGAACTGCCAACCTTGTGGTTAGCAGTACAGTACTTAGCATACAGGGATACAAGGGCTTTATTTCTGAATGTAAATTAGTATTTCATTCAGTGATTAAGTTTTTATTATAAGAAGTTCATTTTTGCTTTGTTTTTTCCTAATGAAAGAGGTTCTAATTGACAGTAACAAGAAATCCAAAGATTGGAATGACATGATCAGAAAATACCCATTTTTAAAAGATCACCTATAAAATTTTGATTTGATCATTGTTTTAAATGTAAAGGAATATACAATAAATATGAACCACTGAATGAAAATAAACAGAAGCTGACTTTGACAATAGATCCTAATAATCTAAAGTTTATTCTCATGTGGATTCTGTAATACTAAGAGAGTTACTTCTCAGTACCTAGAAGAAAACTTTAAACTGGAGAAGCTTACAAATTATTTTAATAGTTAGTAACAAAGCCATGTTTTGTTAAGTAAAGATCTGAAAAGGACATAAGAAAAGGAGTATCCAGAGAAGGAGATGGAATAAAAAGGATCACTCCTGGCTTATTACTGCTTTGTGAAATGAGTAAATTCATAGGAATAAAGAAGCATATACATTTCAAATGAGTTACTTGATTTTTCATATCAGTATTACATCTATACTCAATGATGCTGTTTTAAATAAAATATTCTATTTTTCTCCAGTTCTGACAGAATTAAGAAGGATTTTAAATATGAGAAATCATACAATGGTGACAACATTCATTCTTATAGGACTAACTGAAGATCCAAATTGGCAAGTTGTAATTTTCCTTTTTCTATTTCTAACATATTTAATGAGTATCACTGGAAATCTGACTATAATCCTGCTCACTTTGCTGGCTTCTCAACTCAAAACACCCATGTATTTCTTCCTTCGCAATTTCTCATTCTTAGAAATCTCAGTGACCTCTGCATGTGTTCCTAAATATCTGTCCAGCATTGTAAATATGGACAGAACAATATCATATAATTCTTGTGCTACACAATTGTTTTTTGTTATCCTTTTGGGTGCTTCAGAATTTTTCCTGTTGGCTGCCATGTCCTATGACCGTTATGTGGCCATCTGCAAACCCCTGCACTATGCAACAATTATGAACAACAGAGTTTGTACCCAGCTGGTTGTTACCTCTTGGTTGGCTGGGTTGTTAGCAATCTCTCCTGGACTTATCATAGGCTTGGGGTTGGAATTCTGTGATAGCAATATTATTGACCACTTTTTTTGTGACTATTCTCCTGTCCTGAAACTGTCCTGTACAGACACAAGGACAATAGAATTGTTGAGCTTTGTTTTAGCAACTGTGACACTCCTAGTTACATTGGCTATGGTTTTGCTCTCCTATGCAAATATCATAAGAACAATTCTGAAGATCCCTTCTGCCCAGCAGAGGAAGAAGGCTTTCTCTACCTGTTCCTCCCACATGATTGTTGTCTCTATCTCTTATGGCAGCTGCATTTTTATGTATATCAAACCTTCTGCAGAGGAAAGCATTGCTTTAAACAAGGGGATAGCTGTGCTTAGCACTTCAGTTGCACCTGTTTTAAATCCTTTCATATACACTCTAAGAAATAAACAAGTGAAACTAGCCATGAAGGATATAATTAAAAGATTTATCTTAACTGCCTCCAGTAAATAAGTTTCATTTTTGTTTAAAGGATACCTGGTATGGCACTGTAGTATAAGCACTTGACTGCTAACCACAAGGTTGGTAGTTCAAACCCGCTATCTCCTCCTCAGAAATCCTATACAGGGTTCCTGATAGTCAGAACCAACTCAATGCCACTTAACCACAACAAAACTTATTGAAAGAATGCACCTATTCTGATTACTACTTTAGCATTTTTATTTTATTTTAATATCAGAATAGTCATTAAAGTCACCCACAAATTTTCATTGTTTCTATTTGCTCCTGTTTTTTTTTTTTTTAATTCTGTTTAATGGTATAAGCTGTATCAATGATATCAAATTATGCATTGCTGAAATCATTTTATTCTTTGAATATACTTCTCTTATATATTCACTATGAATTTGTTTAGGAAATCCAATACCTTCATGTCTATATAGCATGGAAATGCTGTGATGTAAATAATTTGTTCAGTCTACAAATGTTCATTTGATTTTATAAATCAAATATTCTAATACTATATATTAATATGTGTCGATATTTTACTGTATATGCTAATATTTTACTGTAGCCTTTGGTGTTTTCAAAAGCATCATAATTTACCTAAATAGAAATATTCAATTTAAAGGTACTTTAGAAATATATATATAAATCTCTAATGTACTGTAAATCGAGAAGACTTTTTCATTTGGGAAAGAGTTATTTCTATTAGAAAGCAATTTAAAGAATGATGGAGTTCTGGTGTGGCACTGTAGGATAAGCAATGGACTACTAACCACAAAGTCAGTGGTTCAAATCTACTAGCTGCTCCTCGGAAGCCCTATACAGGATCACTATGAGTGGGAACAACTCAACAGCACTTAACAACAACAACAACATTGATTGTACCTGTGTAAGATTAAGACTTAATTCATTTATCAGATAATCCTGTATGTCCTCTTCCTTTCTTCCCCCCACACATAAACATGATTAAGACTGAATTCATTTATCAGATAATGCTGTATGTCCTCTTCCTTTCTCCCCTCCCCCCCCCACATAAACATGTGCTAACATGCCTTAACTAATTGTAACAGTGAAATACTGCTAGTGGAGCTTGAAAAGACAGGTAGGCGCTCTCTAGTACAGCTCATTGAGAAGAACCTCATTCAAATGGGAAGATTCAACATTATGTGTGATACTAACTATAGGATTTTTATAAATGTTCTTTACCAAATTGAGGATGTTTCCCCATTGCTAGTTTTCTGGGAGTTTTTTGATGAATTGTCATTGGAATTTTATAAATCTTCATTCTAAATCATTTGATATAATGATATATTTCTTCATATTTATCTTGTTGATGTAATGAACTGTGTTCACTGAGGTTCAAATGCTGACTTACATTTTATGTACTTACGTATGATGTTTTAAACTCCTAAACTGCTTAGTTCTCACTTTTTCATCTTCCTTGCAATGATGTTTTTGTACGTTGAATTATTTTCCTCCTTTAAATGATGAGTTTCTTATTCTCCTGGACTTGACTTAGCAGGACCCTCAGTAGAGTGTGAGACAAAGTATTCATGATTTAGGCTTAAACTTCTTCTCTTGCTTCCTTGAAAGACAGTATTGTTTAAAAATAAAATAAT